CCTCCCAGCCTGTTTAAGGCTAAATCTTGGAAGAAGACTATATGCAGTTGATTTTAAATATAAATTGAGTTGCCACAAAAAAAAATGCATTCCAAACAGTTCAGCTTTGTTAATCATTTTAAATTGGATACAACAGACAGAGAATATTCTTTTATTCTTAAAAACAGTTTTGTTTTCATTTAATAGTTTTATATCTTTTTCAGCCTTGGCGTGCGAGCTAATAGGCGGCAAGAGGAAGAAAAAACCAATTGTAAAGAAAATAATTTAAGAAATGTAAAATCTAATAAAATCTTTAAATCATACAATCATATACAACTGTGAAATGAGAGTTTAAAAGTTGAAAGTTTAAGTAAAAATAAAGATAAAGGTATCAATAACAAGCCAGAGACGAAAATTATAAACTATCTTAAAATATGTATTAAAATCTCTCTCCTCCTCCCCTCTCTCATGTCGAAACTGTAAATTGTTTCGATATAAACCTTCTAAATGTAAACAGACCGCTAAACCAGTTTTTCGCCAAGTTTATTACATACCAGAATAAAGGAACTGAGTTTTTGTCACGAATTTAAATTTTTAATTTCCTATATCTTTTCAACCCAATGGTTTAAACCTTTGATATTTCAAACTTAGATTATTCGGTCTAACAGAATTCATAGTTTGAAATNTATTGGTGGTAAGTATTTTCCCAAGGGCAACTTCCCAAGTGAATGTTTCCCAAGTGGCAACTTCCCAAATGTGCAATTTCCCAAGCGGCAACATCCCAGAGGTTAGATTAGGCCTTCTGAGGAGCCGAAAGTTGCAATAAGGGCCTAGTGCTGCGGCTAGGATGGGAAAGAGGACCGAGCGCTGCGATGAGAACATGCAAGGGCGCCGAGCACTGCGGATAGGACAGACTTGGGAAGATGCCGCTGAGAAATTAGTTAGTTATAAAGTTGCCACTGGGAAAAATACCCTTGGTAAGTTACCGCTTGAGGAAAAGCCTAACCTCTAAATATTTAAAGGAAGTGTTCACGAAAAATGAAAGGGGGTAAAGCGCTTTTAATTACTACTAGACTACACGTGGATTTAACGGTTCTGTCAATATTTCAGAAAACTGCGACTTTAAATCAATATTTGGCCCCTTTTACATAATGTTATAGCCTTTTGTTGGCATATTCATTTTGAATGAAAAAATATAAAATAAACAAATCTGTAAGTCTGAAGACTGTTGAGATATAGATGAAAACACGTTTGATTTCAAATAAAAGAATCCGAATGCATCTCTCTCTCGTTAGTTCAGGGTGACTATGACTAATCTTGTTTTCTATCTGTTGCGTCTATAAGGAGAAAGTTGCAATATTCAACAAATATCGATTATCATCGATTATTTCTCGACGCATTCGTATATACAGGGTGTCCCAAAAAACATGGGAATTCAGTGACGAATTCGATATCGTCTTTTCAAATAATTTTTTGATTTAGTATAGTGATACCTACTGAGAAAGCTGTAATCTGTAAGAGCTTCGTCTGCTATGTTTACATTTTGTTTGTTTATGTTTTGACTGCGACCGGTTATACTTAGTAAAACAAGAAAATTACAGTATACAAANAATGTACTCTACTGCATATAATTTGTGAACATTTACATGATTTGTACACTTTGAACCCCCTTTCAGGCTGAAACAATTCATACCGAGAGATTCTTTTAATTCCTCTCTATTTATTCTATTCTCTATGTTGTTGACCCTGTAGTTTTAAATTTCTGCAGTACGAAGTGTACTGCACAGAAAACAAGTTTGAAATCACAATAAAAGCTAATTTTTCTCACTTCTTAAAATTGTAAAATCAGTTGATCCAACTCATCCAAGTGTAGAGTTTAGTCTTAGGTCTGAGCCCAAAACTTAAGACAAGGTATCGTTATGAAAACCAGTTTTGAAACCCGGGTTTCAAGAATGGGGTTATGGGCAGTTTTGTGGATATCAATATTTTGATATGAAATGTTTTTTATTTAATTTCTTCATATACTCCATTTTTTAAAATCTCTTTAATCAAAATCTACACAAATGTTAAGACCCCAAAAAGAAAACTCAGGAGTTTCGTTCTACGATACTCTTTTAAATTTCGGGCTCAGGGAAAACGGGATAGTACACCAAATGAACGAACCCGTTCTATGGAACTTTTAGTGATTTAGTAAATTTACAGTTTTAAAGTGAAAATAAGTGTCAGAGTAAAAATGAGAAAGTTTGTGGCATAACAAATAAAACATCAAATTCTGCGAATAAAACATGTTTTTAACTATTGTTTATATATTTTTTTATTGTTATCAATTTTAAAGTTTTCAAATGATGCAAAACGTCTAAAAATCCTGGTAATATTGGCTCTGTTTATCATAACTCTGCATGGTTTCTTTACCTGTAAGAGGAGCCAAGAGTTCACCGATTAAACCTCTCAGAGTTTCTGTTGTGATATAGCCGAGACCCTCTTTATCGTAGATCCTGAACAAAAATGCAATTAAATATGATGATAAAATTATTAAATGTCATTAAATGCATGATGTAGATAATTTTTTTCTTTGTTATTCTATTCTATGGGAGACGCCATTATTTTTTTACGTATTCAAGTTTTTATAAAGCAAAAACTGTTAATTTTAGCTTTAAAATCAACTTTTTATGTTAAATGAGTCTGTGCTAAGAGCTGAAAACTTTAGAATGGTGGATATCGAGATTAATGTGCAATCCTCTCTTCTTCATAATATCAAGACTAATCTAATCTTGTACTTGTATCCTGAAAACTGTATAAAATTCAACCAATCAGAGTCG